ACAACGTCGTTGCCAAGCGACGAAAACCCAACCCCGATGGCAAACACCGTGGGGGGCGTAACATGGGGACTGTTAATCCACCCGCGAAATATAAAGGAGGCTCCTTCCCGTACGCGTGCAAGATCACCGACGACTACACGAAGATGAAAGAAGTTTACCTGCTTCGCAAGAAATCTGACACGACCGAGGCGGTGCACACGTACAACATGTGCGTCGCAGCGGCAGGAGGCTACCGGATCGAGACCATCCGCTGCGACAAGGGAGGCGAGAACACCGGATCCGAATTTCGGGACTACTGCAAGAATTCAGCTATCAAGCTCGAATACGCCGCCACCAACACCCCTCAACAAATTGGTGTATCGGAACGGGACGGACAAACCCTGGCCGGAGTCACCCGGTGTCTTCTGAAGGATGGAGATTTTCCGCCGTCCATGTGGGGGGAGTTAATGCTGACTGTGGCATACCTGTTGAACAGTTCCCCACACTCAGCACTGGGAGGAGCTACGCCATACTCGAAGTTGCACAATAAGTCACCTGATCTCTCGGGACTTCGGGTCATTGGAGCGCGCGCCTTCGTACACCACGAGAGATACCGAAAGAAGCTGGACGACAGAGCTTTCGAAGGCAAGCTATGTGGTTTCGGCCTCGACAGCCAGACCTACCGGGTATTGAATCCATCCAACGGGGCCGTGGTCGAGAGCCGGAATGTGACTTTCATCGAATCTCCACCCCGCTCAGTGCCCTTCCAGTATTCCACTGAAGCAAACGGGTACGAGAGCGACGTGCTGAGCTTCACCTCCCTGCTGGACAGCCCCCACTCGACGAGCGACCTGGACTTCACGGCGCAGAACGAACTCCTTCGGCAAGATGTCCCGAAGATGCAGCAAGACAATCTCGCTCGGGAGGAGCTTCGCCTAGAACTGGACGGGCACGAGGACGAACATGGAAACGGGCAAGATCTCGGCGACGGGGACCATCACACATCTCCCATCGACGCCAGCTGGACCGTCATCCGAGACCCACGCATCTAGTCCCAGTCCATCATCGTCGAACCCGCCTGAGCCGGACACTTCTGCATCAACTGGATCCTCCGGCGTGCGGCGCCTGCAAGTCACCAGAGCCAGCACGCGCGGGAAGCCCACCAGCGACGATCATATCGACGTCAACTTGGTTCCTGCCAATCTGGAAGTCACCATGAACGACCGCGGTCGAGCCCATGCTACAACGGGCCGCGTGGAGCCATACGGTCTTTTCTTTACTCAGCTGGCTGAGATAGCCGATCAAGCCCAGCTCCCATGCGCTGGCGATACTGAGGATTTCGCCCACGTTGCGGAAGACCCCTTCACGGTGCCGCGTGCTCACGCCTACGTCACGACCACTCACGAACACCACGGGATCTTGGAGGAGACGAATCAAGCGATCAAAATCCCCAACACCTACGACGAAGCCATGAGCTCTCCCCAGCGCGAAGAATGGAAAGGAGCGTGCAGCAAGGAAATGGACAATCTGCGGAAACACAACGTCTACAATCTGGTNCGCGTGCTCACGCCTACGTCACGACCACTCACGAACACCACGGGATCTTGGAGGAGGAGAATCAAGCGATCGAAATCCCCAAAACCTACGACGAAGCCATGACCTCTCCCCAGCGCGAAGAATGGAAAGCAGGGTGCAGCAAGGAAATGGACAATCTGCGGAAACACAACGTCTACAATCTGGTGCCCCTCAGCAGNACGCCCCAGTATGCCGTATCGGGAGCATTCGCATGGCGTGTGCCATTGGCTGCCACAACAACTGGCCCATCCACCAACTGGACGTTGTCGGTGCCTTCCTGAACGCCCTCTGCGACAGAGATGTGTACGTCAGACCCGCCCCCGGTACATCCGCCAAGAACTCCGCGACGGGAGAACCCATGGTGTACAAACTAGAACGGAGCCTCTACGGCCTATATCAGTCGCCTGCGCTCTGGAACGACACGCTGGACGAATCCCTCACGGTGTTCGGATGGAAAAGGACTCCATCCGACCCCTGCGTGTACGT